ATCTGATTGGACTCCCTAGCATATTATATTTTGATATTCATCTGCTGGACCACGTTGAGGATAGCAAAGAACGGCGAAATCATGATATCTCATGAAAGGACGAAGAAATTAAAGAGTGCATTCTCCTGAACCACTACTTTAGCGAGTGTTCTGAACCTTGAAGCAGTCAGTTCCCGAGGTGGTAGTGATCCATTCCAATATATTTCTTCATGCTTATCCGGTATTTATGTAACAGGAAGACACCCATTTTCGAATGGACTGGAAAGCGTTGTTTTAACTTCCTCTACACGCAGTCATGTCGTTTGTTCTCTAAATAGATTATGACGTTTCAAGGTACCACCCTTATCATATATGACAGCTCATTCACTTCATCACCACTGTTTCCATAGTTAGATTTATAGCAATAGCATGACAACTCGTATTATTGGTGTTATGTAGAAATTAGGTTGAAATCTCTTATACCATTGGAGCGAATCAATTGTTTATGAATCATTTTTATAGGAAACGTTTCCTAACATTCTGGACAAAGGCGTGTTTCCTGCACTGCTCGTACTTTTATTTATTTTTGCTGTGATTATCTTACTGAAGGTAATTGAATCGTATGCTACTCTGTTGATGACTTGATTAATGAATAATTTTCAGGTGAAATGGCATCGCCGGAACAGTACGGACATATCGTTATGCAAATTAGCTGAAAGTGCTTTATCAAAGATGGAAATAAAAAAGTTTAAGCCGGTTAAGAAATGCAAAGGTTCGATGGTTCCCGGTTACAATGGCGAGACGGAACTGCTTACAAGCTGCAGGGCCAGTCTCAACAGTTTGGACATGTGCGCGATATGCCTGGAGGGTTACAAAGAAGAAGAAGTAAGAGTCTTTATTGTAGAAGCGACCGTACAGTTAGAATATTTATCTACTCGATGTTGATGCCTGTTATTTTGAATGTTTGAAAGAACACGGTATGATCTACCAATGAAAATACATTATAGCTTTCCAGACACAAGCTCGTCATTGAACAGATTCAACGGCAAGAGTCCAGTAGAGCTTTTTGTCTCTGAACTTGTCCTCAGCTGTGGTCATGAGTTTTTGATGCTGACCTTAGGACTTAGTGTACTTTCGGAAACGAGCGCTGAAAATTTGGTTCCTTTGAATGACGAGTATTGATTTGATGAGGCTTGACAAGTTCTGTGATAAGAAAATTCGAGATACAGCAGTTTATGAGCTGCTGTTCCTCCTACAAATGAATACGTTATAAACATGTTATCAAGATATCAGAAAAGTGGCTAGCAACGAAAAGCCACACGAAGCGGTCACCTGGACAGACAGGGAATTAGATGATTCGATTATGCTGAATGCCTGATACCGTTGTGTCTTTGCAATCCAGTGTGAAGACTCTTATTGACTGGCAATAAACTATGGCAACCTCGCGTTCATTACACACGGAATGAAATCTGGCCTTGGATGAGTTATGCGTTATTTAGCATTCTGCAACGTACGAACGAACATCCTTTTATGTTCATATGTTATCATATGAGGAATAGGTCCTTGAACGTAGTTCATAATGAGAGCCAGGTGGTTCTAGCGGCCAGAATTAGGCGAGGCATCTGGAACTGCAGCTGCACAAATATCATGGAACTGTTTAAATGGACCCCAGGCAACTAGAAGCAAAGGAATGGTGCAGTACCATGATATCTGGTCTTGGGCGGACTACGCAGTATTTGACATTCTCAGGCATACGAACAACTGATGAATTTGAGTTATAGTTAGAGGTCGTCACTTCAGCCATTTTTATCAATGATAGATCTTTCGATCACGTTGATCCTCCATGTAAATTGCTTCTATCACTCTGACTTGCTTCAATTCTTGCTTCTTTTCCTTCCTCACCTTCCTTCTTCCTTTTTTTCATGATTCCTCGTCTTCTTCTTTTTTTTCTCTTTTGAATAATAACATTTTTCAACTGGTTTCCGTGTACGGTAGATGAGAAGTCTGACGCCTAACTGTTTTTCTGAATGGAAAATGACATTTTACTTACTGATATGACAACCGCTTTTTTTCGGATGCACTCAAAGCGCTCTCAGTTAATTATTGAGGTCATCCAGTACAAAATGCATGATTTTTCGTTTCTTCCTTTATGATTCATCTGATTTAACCTTTTCCCTTGTATCCTAACTGGTGGATGTTGCCATGTAACGATTACTAACGTTGACAAACGAGTTTTACTAACAGTTATGGTTTTAGACGTTGCGCGTGATCGGATGTGGTCACGAGTTCCACAAGTGCTGCGTCGATCCATGGCTTCTGGTCAAC